CATGATATAAAAAAAGTGATTATAGCAGTATGGAATATTCCTCCACACTCAATAATTTGGTTGAACACTTGCACATGTATGGATGAGTTTCAGGGTATACTGCCAGAACATGTGAACCTGATTTCAAAAAAAGATCCAGGTATATCTCTAGCAGAGGCTAACATTGTGACCACATCAGGAGCCTGCGGAGGCCACTGAGGTGTAACCGAGCGAATCTGAACATTGAGCTTCTATTTGTCAGGGAGACAAAGGTCTGGTTTTCACAGCGAGGTCACAGTTGCATGGAGAAGAAAGCTGGACCCTGCCAGGTAAATAGGATGTCATTGTCTTGCAACAAAAGCATAGTCTTAACCCTGTGACCTCATCAGCTTTGGGGAATGCTTCTCTATTCTCAGCCAGTCATCAGGAGAGGGAGACGGGCTCTTTGAAGACACTGCACAGGTATCAGTTCCCCTGGGCCCGCTGAGGCACTTGCAGAACAGCATACAAGCAACCTGTAGCAACATTGGTGTTTGCTTTAATGACCTTCATGATGCATAGAAACCCGAAACATGTGAAGAAAATGAATATGCAGGGTTATGCTTTTATATGGAGATAATCAGATGATCTATACAGGTCAGAAACCATGCTGCTGGGAAAGCACTGTTTGATTTAAAAGAGACATTTTGAAGGTTGCACATGAAAAAGTGCACTGAGAAACTTTCATCTGCTGCCTGCTTACTGTTCCTTTACTGACCCACATTTCCCTGAAAACCCATCAAAACGACTTTCAGAAAAATGCAGTATCACTTGTTCTGTGATCACGCTAATCTGAACGCTTTTGCAGATTGAGAGCTGCGAGTGCTCAAAGCAAAGGCAACTCAATCTTAGAATTTAAAAGGCTTTTTTCTTTGCCTCATACAGCCTGCAGCCAAATGGCACTTGTGTTCTGACACGGCACATAAACACACACAAAAGAAGTTATTAGCGTAGATGCAAATCAAATTACTAGCAGTGTAAACTGCTATTCCTCCCTGCACTTGGGCCTGTAATTACTCTGGCTTATAGGACTATAATGAATGCTAATGACACACTACTGCAAGGCCATCAGCCCAACACTTGTGTGAGGTTGGCTGATTTTCACTTAAGTTATGAGAGCCCATTTTAGTCCGTGTAGTTTTCCCTTCATTCCATACTCTGTGCAAGATTAAAGAGAACAATAATTTTGGTGAGGAACACTTGCCTGGAATATGTTTCAGGAGCAATTCATTTAAAAATGAAAGTCCATAATTGGATGCAGTCAACCATATCATATATAAAGCATATTTTTGCATTTCAAAAGGGATTACAAATTCAACTACACAAAGAGTCCTTGTGGATAGGACAACAGCTGCACATGCCTCAGAACAAGAATCTGTCAGTGTTACTGAATCTCATTTCATTTAATTAGTAATATGCATTTCTGCTGTTTGGGAATCCATATATATATACAAATCCCTATACTTAAAATACAAAATATAGATCAGGCTTAAAACTCACCGTCGTTCACAAAAATATGTGGTCAGGATGTTTGGGTCCGACATTAACATGAAGGCACAACAATTATAAATATCATTTATTTTGTTTGGTTAAATAAACATAGTTGGCATCATATATAAAGCCAATTATGGGCCAAAACTAGTCAGGGTAGGACGTCACTTAGTCAATATCGATTTTGTGAATTTTTCGAACTTACACAGTACTGGACCAGGGTCAGATGAGGTTGCTCAGTTATCATAAACATTATCAACACAGGGAAACATTTCCAAATGAATGCAGAATCTGTGGGCAACGGGATGATATTTTTGTAACAGAAGCTTTCAGCTTCCATTTTGCAGTCCAAGTTATATTGAGCAATCACAATTAAGCGAGCTTTGATTGCATGCTAGTAAACAAACCTGCAAAAATGCAGCATTGCAGCCAATCAGATATTATGTAGTATGAAGAGGATTTTGCCTTTTTTCGTTTTAAATTAGCTTCTATATGATACATCAACCCAGTCTCACATCTAAACGTGTAATAACTACGTTGGTCCACAACTTGGGACGTAGTATTTCTACAAAAACGCCTCTGAAATTGTAGGATCCCTACATGTTTTTTCACTATTCATTTCCAATGGCTGCCGTCTATGTCACGTGATCTTCAAATGTCTCCCTGCAGAAAAAAAAAACATGGCCGACCTTCGTTTTATTCTCGGTGGAAAATGCCTATTTTAAGGTTAGTTTGGCCATTAAAATGCATTTTGATGTCATTTGATGCGAGAAATATGAGTTATTATTTCAGATTATGTGTGCAGTGGATGTACATGATCTTTAGTTTGCTAGTTATTACGAAGATTACATTGTTACCAAGGTGGTTGCTAGGGACGCTGCTATCGATATTATTTATGTTATGTTGTGTAACTGTTTAATGGTGTTATCTTTATTGCTACCCCCTTCCCCGTCAATTTATAGTGTTGGTCCACAGCGCAAACGTATTAGTTTAACTAAATCCGCATCTAAAATTGTGGCATAGATACGTTATTTTCCCTTGTGCAATTCTCCAACCCAGTCTCACATCTCACATCACATCATCATAAACAAATACCGGAAACAGACGTAGGCAAGATCCTCAGCTCGGTGATTGGATGGTTTAGCCGCAATGCACGTTGGGAAATGGTGTTTATGCGATGTGAAATCCGAAAACATTTAAAATAAATAAAATAATACTTTATTCCGAGTGTACTTGCTTTTTATAATGCATGTTTTTGTACTATATTTGCGATAAAATGATTTTTAGCCATAAATTCTTAATACAATTGATACTGTTGGACTCAGTACTTGTTAGACTACTACCAAAAATACAATGAAGTACTTTTACTGTGTACTTTTCAAGTATCAAACTGTCAAACTCCCCTCCTGAGTACACTTATTCATGTATTCTGCTATATTTGTTGAGGGATAAAAAGATTTGTTACCATAAGTTCGACATGAAATTGATACTGTTGGACTCAGTACTACTTGGACTACTACCACAAGTACAATCAAGTATTTTTACTCTGTACTTTTTGAGTAATACTTGGTTAAACTCCTGTCCTGAGTACAATAATTCATAGTTCATATACAATACAGGAATTATTGGAGTTTGACCGAGTATTATTCAAAAAGTACACAGTAAAAATGTAATTGCACACTCAAAAATGAAGAGCCGCTGATTTGACCAAGCAAACGCGAGAGACGGCTGAGTTGACCGCAGTACCGGAACGGACGACAGTATCTTAATATTTTCTGAAAACAAATGCCAGTGTCACACACACACACCCTGGTGACCGGACATCTCCTTCATAAATAGAATAATAAGGCGTAATAATCGGGCAGTTCGATGTGTGTAGAGGTGTGTGCGTGTGTGTGTGTGTGTGTGTGTGTGTGTGTGTGTGTGTCTGTAGAGGTGTGTGTGTGTGTGTGTGTGTGTAGAGGTGTGTGTGGCTATAACGAAGCAGCCTGCAGTCGCTCTTTAGCTGTCTAATGAAGGTAAACACAGCGAAGGCTGTGTGTAAAAGGCACAGCTCCACTTCCTACTTGGTGAACCTGTAACTTTCCCGTGTGCACGAGAATGTATCTCTTGCGCAAGAGAAAGTATATCGTGATGAGCAAAACCATGTCACTTGGCCCAGGTGGTTTCCACAGAACGGACAAAACATGTTTAACGACCATAAAGGTCCATAGGTACCGGCGGTCTATCCGCCAAAACAAACTTAAGTTTGTGTCAATCACTTGCACGTCACTTTTGGTATGATGGGCATTCCCTTTCCGGTTTGATTCTCTAGTTTGTTAAAGTGTTTCGGCAAATGTCAAAGTGTTTCGGGAAATGTTAAAGTGTTTCGGGAAATGTTAAAGTGTTTCGGGAAATGTCAAAAGTGTTTCGGCAAATGTCAAAAGTGTTTCGGCAAATGTTAAAGTGTTTCGGGAAATGTTAAAGTGTTTCGACACTTGTAAATTTGTCTCCAGCTTTGTAAAAGTGTTTCGCGTCTTGTTAATTTGTTTTTGTTAATGTTAAATCGTTTTTTCTTTGGTAAAAGTGTTTTGCTAATGTAATTTTGTTTTATAAAATGTACATTTGTTTTATAAAATGTAAATTTGTCTCAAGCTTTGTTAAAGTGTTTCACACTTTGTAATTGTCGATTGCACCTCTCAGCCACCGTACATAACGGAGTGAAATGACCCGGAAGTACCTGGGTGGCAGCCATGATAAGAGCCGTTCGAATTCTCTAGATGATAGGAAAGGAGGTTTGAAACTTCCTTTATAACCTCCTTTAGCTTAGGAAACACTGGATCTTCCTTTACGAAAGAAAATGAGAAAATGCTGCCCCACAATGCCTTGCGGCCGCAGCATTTAGGGCGAGGGAATATTCGGCCGTTCACGGAAACAACTGAATATGACCGAGAAATGATATCATGAAAGTTACGGTTCTTATTAAGCTTTTTAAAATGGTAACTTGCCAAAGTGCTTTGTTTTGAATGTTCAATCAAAAAGAGAAATATGAAAGTTAGTTTTTACTGAAATGATCAAATAAAGTCAACATTTCACAGTGTTTACTGAGCTGTGTGGGGTTTGTTCAACTTTTAAAAGATGTTTGAATGGTGATATACACAGTGATAGATGTTAAGGACTAACGTTTATAATAAATAGCCTACATTTGTATTGATTTTAAGATCTTTTCATATAATCATACGTATTGGGATCATTTGTATTAATGTGGACCGGAGGGAGAGGGTGACAAGCATACGTTTCACTTTCCTTTTTTATTTCAATTACCTCGTTCATGAAGAATTTATGAATTTATGTTTCTCTGTTGTAACATCTGTTGCAAAGTTTCTAGATGCGTCCGCCGTTCTTATTAAACATCCATGTAGTCCGCTCACTCCGCTGTATAGAAAACTAGTTTCTCCACAGCAGACGCATATTCATGACGTCCGCTGGCGCATCATAAATACGTTGGATAGTGAAAGTGCAGTCGGATTCTCAAAGCACCGCAGTCTCTTCTCCTAAATCCTTTTGAATTCTGCTATCCACTATTCCTTAACCCTGCGACGTTTCACACAGAAGTCAAGGGATAGACGATAGGAGCTGATTTTTGGACTATTCGACTGCAACCTGACAGTCGATGAGTTCCTAAATACTTGTGTAAGTGCAGTGTCCATATTTCTGAGCAGCGTCAGAACTAATGTTTTTTCCATGTCTGGGTAACGTTTAGCCTCAAACGATGTCAATCCAAGGTCTTCAGTCTCCTCACAGAGACAAATGTGTGCAGGCTAAGGGTTTGTCAACTCAATGTGACAAATAGAACTTCATTATTCCCAAATCTGTAGCATATGGTAATAGCAGCTAAAACCAAGGCAGTTCAATAATAAAAGCTAAAATAATGGATTATAATTATAATGCTAAGAATAGCATTCAAAATGTCCAACACAATAGATGTACATTTTTGTTATGTTTATCAGAGTCATATAGAAGCAACAATGGAGCCGTGTAATACCTCCATTTTTCCCAATCCTTTGAGCTCCGACATGTCCAAACAAAGCAAAGCCAACTTGTGATCCCTAACTGTAGTTGGGCCACTTCTCAAAGTTTTCTTATAAAAACGTTTTAAAGATAACATTTACAGAAGTTCACAAGTAAATGCCACAAATTAGAAGAAAAAGAATAGGAAGAGGAGAAATGTGTTTTCTTTACTTTAATATCGTGTTTATCATCCTGTGACCTCTTAGATGTATTGACTCTTGAGAAATATAATCCATTTTGTAACAGACAAAGTTGGCATTGTATAAAATCAACTAGTGGGGAAATTGAAAAAGCCATGAAACTCATGGATATTTGCAACATATTCAAGGTCTGAGGACACACCATGTTCTTATGCAGCATGTGTTTATGCCTCAACAGCACCTTAGTTTATCTTATTTATGCTTATTGAATGATATTGTAGATTTACTGGCATATCAGCCTCAACCTGGATCTTTTCCCCACAAACAGAAGAGTGAGCTAAAGCTTCCCATCGGCCGCCTGAATAAGGAATTTCTGATGGCCTGAGCTAAAGGTCAGCAGTGCTGAAGAAATGCTGCAGTACGGAGAAACCAGGGCAGCAGAGTCTGTGTGGATGAGAGAGAGATAAGGACTGGAGGAAGTGGAGAGGACAAGGAGCAAGTGAGCATTCTGCATCACTGTGTGCTAGTGGCATCAGAACCAGGAAGAACTGGGAGCTTAGTGTGAGTCTGTTACTAAGAGAAGGATGCTAGCTGAGGTGGAGGGATCTTGAATCACCCTGAAAGTGTTTCTTTCTTCACTCATCGGCTTGCTGCACATTATCCCACTTATTACATGGGTATGTACTAAATAAATAAATGACTTGGGTCACAATATTGATTTATGATGAGTTTATTGACTTAAAAATGACTGCATTGCTTCCATTAGGAAAAAATAGTCCGTTCCAGTGCGTACCAACGGCCGAACTGAGGCGACAGCAACATAGATTAAAATGACGGCAGCACTGATCGAGGTGTTCTTTAACTGTTCAAGTCTGTTCATTCTCTTTTCCATTAAGCAGTCTTTAAACACTGCAGAGCCCATACCGTGTTCCTGTTAGTGTTTACTTCCTGTCTGTCTTCCTTCTGCTGTTCCCTTTAGTGTTTACTTCCTGTCTGTCTTCCTTCTGCTGTTCCCTTTAGTGTTTACTTCCTGTCTGTCTTCCTTCTGCTGTTCCCAGGACGGAGCTGCCATCCATGGAGGACCTTTACTCCCAGCGGCTCAGGAAGAAATCACTACGGATTATCAAAGACCCCCATCACCCCAGCCACAAACTGTTCTTTCTGTTGCCGTCTGGCAGACGTTACCGCAGCATCCGGGCAAGGACAAGAAGATTCGGAGACAGTTTCTTCCCGCGGGCAGTGAGACTGTTAAACAATTGAACTGTTGAAACAACATCAAACATTCAACTGCTACTCAGTAGTATGTATCTAATACCTAATATATATATATCATTCCAATAACTTGTATATAGACTCATACTGCACTATTCCACATCATAACTTTATTTCATTTTTATAACTATTATTATTTTTGTATTGCTCTTGCTCTTATTGTTATTATGTTATGTTATTATGTTGCATTGTTGGAGAAGCCTGTGACATAAGATTTTCAACTGCATAATTACTCTGTAGCTATGTCAGATTGACAATAAAGAACCTTGAACCTTGAACCTTGAACCCTTTAGTGTTTACTTCCTGTCTGTCTTCCTTCTGCTGTTCCCTTTAGTGTTTACTTCCTGTCTGTCTTCCTTCTGCTGTTCCCTTTAGTGTTTACTTCCTGTATGTCTTCTTCTGCTGTTCCCTTTAGTGTTTACTTCCTGTATGTCTTCTTCTGCTGTTCCCTTTAGTGTTTACTTCCTGTATGTCTTTTTCTGTTGATTTATTTGACATCCGGCGCTCTGATTCTTTTAAACTTGCGCTTTTTTCTTGTTCTAGTTTATATGTATTTACTGGAGACAGTTTTGTCATCATGAAAGTTCCGTGCTCTCCACAAATACAAAAATAAATATTGAAAACAAGTATTCCTCTGTGGTTTCTGATTGGAGGAAAATGTATGGGGTTATTTCTGCCACTGCTGACGCTATATTGACTGCACTTCTTTCTGCACGAAACAGAGCCATTTGAAATGGACCATTCAGCATTGAGTATTTAACTAAGTCGTGTAATAAGAGAGATGAAGGTAAGAGTGGCTGGTCAAAGAGAAGGGATATTCTCAGCTGTTAAAGAGAAAGCTTTGAGAAAACACAGAGCCTTAATAACAGCCTAACACACCCTGACTATTACAATGAAATGCTCCACAACAGAATCTTATTAAGGCGTATAAACACCACTTATAACACATTTTGTGTATCACGCATTCTACGTTTTTGTAAGTTGCTTAATGCCCCATTCTCTTTTCCAATGCGTCACATGCAGACACACTGTTACAGTTTGAAACACTAGGTTAACAATGTGAATTCATACAAAACGACTTGGTTAGTTGAAAGAAGGTTAGAACTAGCAGCTAGCCTAGCTGCTATAGCTGTATATTCACTGTACATGCATCAAAGTATTTATTTAACTTTCATCAAGAAAGGGAATAAGCATTCTTTTAAAATGTAAATGTACACAATCTTTACATAAAGAAAGAGTGATTAAGTTGCTGCTTCTATAAGGTTACCAAAGGGTTAAGTAATTATAATAAGTAGGAACATTTAAATAATTAAGCCACAAGCTGCCTTTTGAAACTCTCTAGACTTTAACTATTCAAATGTGCGAGCTAACAAGTAATAAAACAGGATTATGAAGTTGCATGTCAAAAGAGTTTTTTTTAAAAGCAGACAGCTATTTATCTATTTTATTTATTTATCCCTATTTCATTGAGTCAAGTCAAATCAAAGTCAAAGTCAACTTTATTGTCAATCTTCCAGTTTGTGTGTACAGACAGAGAGATTGAAATACCATTTCCCACAATCCCGAATATAAAAACAAATGTATATAAAGATATGTGTGCACTGCAAATATGTAAATATATACACAGAATCACCCATGGACAACCAGGCTTTGGATTGACTGGATAATATTATATACGGCTAAAATCCCTGTTTGTATTTGGTGGATATAGGGCAACTTTTAACAATTCATACATATCAGGTCAGTATGGCACTATAGTTTGCATCGATCATGGACGCATTTTGGCCTCAACATTGTAAACATCCAATATTTTTAAGGTAACATTTCTAATGAAGAGGGTGCATGGTGTCACTCTGCATTAGTTTGAGTTTTAGTTTGAACCATAGTAACGATGTTTGAGTTGTTCTGGAAAGGTAAAGGAATTGTTTTTGATTGAGTATTTGCAAAACCAGCTCATAAAGGCAGTGGCTTTCTGCATACCTCTATTAACCTAATGGAAATGTTGTCATATGGAGTAAATATATCCTTTGTTGGATGATAATAAAGGAATGGAAACAGACTAATAAAAGGCATATCAACAGCAGGACAAACAAACAATTTGAAATAATTGGTCTGAAGACCTAAACATATTTTCTTTCCTCTTTTTATTATGCCTTTGCCAAAATGTTTTGCTAAGTTACTTTTTAACAGTTGTACTAAGCGCTGTGCCATTACTTACTGAACATATCCACTGTGTTTCCTGTAACAGCATTAGACAGCAGCGGCCCGTAGCATCAGCACATCTCCTCCATTACTGCTGAGGAGACAGGAGGATGTTTTTCTCAGACGAACAAAGCATTCCGAGTAAATCTCAGATCAAACAACATGCTGAAAAGTTGGATCTCAAAATAAATAGCCACCGTCAAAGGGGTAGGAGAAGGGAGAGAAGATTGTCTCAAATGAAAGACACCCCATTGAAATCCTATTGAGCTATTTTCAGTGAGGCACTAAAAAAGCGCCAGAGAAAAGAGTGCACTGGTAAAGGTCAGCGTGAACCCAGATCATAGAAGCTGAAACACGGCTCAAAGATAAAGGGCACAGTGGGAAATATATCAATTACGCCTTGACATTTTCCAGAGAGACAAAAGAGGCCAGTATAATACGATGGTGTGTGCAGCCTCTTCAGAAGTCAGCAACACTTTGGCTGGGTACATTCCTACTGTGTATTAAAAATGTTGACGCAAAGTAATCATTTAAATTGTTCATTTCTTTATAGCTTCAAACACTGATTTATGGATATTTCAATGTAAAATATCACAGTACAACAGGATGTACTTTGGCCATACATTTAAAATGTTGGTTGTGAATTCAGATGATTTGGCCTATTTTATTTCAGAGAGGAAGTTTGAGCCTTAGCTTTATGCACTTAAGGGGTGTCAAACTCAAATACACAGTGGGCCAAAATGAAAAAATGGGTACTAGTCGAGGGCCGGACTGGTTCAATGTTTATTGCAAAACGTATTGAAATGAACTTATTGCTCATATTAAACCTGGAACTCACAAAGCTTAAATTATTGCCTTTAAAAACAACATTAAACATTAAATAATCAGTTGCATTAATTTCTTATGGCTCTATCTGCAGCTTTTCCGGAGTCATTTCTTATGATTACATTTTTCCACAGGCCAACAACAGCTTCATAAAAACTATTTCCCTCAAAGAAAAAACCAAACGTGCCCTGTTGTCTCAAGAAACAAAGTGCAGAATTGGGTGAAGGTGTGCGTGCGATATACGGCAGGCCACATCTAATAGCAATTAAAAATTATCCTGCGGGCCGAAATTAAATCCACACTGGATTCACACACGTTGCATACCGCTATTTTATTGTCATTTTCGGACACCTTAAAATACTGCCAGACTGGTGAAGCCCTTTTGGCGAGCTTGTTTTGCCGCGCACAGAGAAAAGTGTCATGTATTTTACGTCATCATTTTACGTCATGCGATCGGCTCTCGCAATCGGCATTTTTTGAGAGCACCGATCGATCGGCAGAGAGTGAGTATCGGCCGATATCGATCGGCGGCCGATCGATCGGAGCATCCCTAAATTAAATGTCTTTTGCATATGAACCGTCATTTCAAAATATTGCTAATATTTTGAATTAGCATGTTCCTGGCTGGCTAGAACGTTTCCTCGTCAGCTAAAGTGTCATAACAACTAAAGGAATTTGCACCACAAATCTCAGCAGTTGCTGAAAGTTAACAAGGAAGCACAACCTCACATTGTGGTAATCACAAAAACTAAACCACTACGAAGTGTCTATGTAAAAGATGAGCCTCTACAAACACGATCGATTTTTTCAAGCGAAGGAAGAGAAAAGTATACACAGGTGCAGAAATGTAAAAACAGCTCGAAATCAGGATGGTAGGTACTAATAATCACAGAAGAAAGGATACATGAAAGATAAGAGAGTAGTGATTGTGTTTTAGAGCGCTAACCAGGCACCTGCACACATAGACATCAAAGTGGGCTTGAGCCCCTGCCCTTTTACTTCCTCCAGAGAAAGTGCCCTTTTTTTCCCCTTTTAAAAAAAAAGAAAAAAAGAATATATATCTACTGCTGTTTGTGCACAGTTTCCCTTTCCAAAAATATATTGATTGAATACAAAATAAAAATATCAGGTCGGCAGATTAGACTGTGAAGTTCCGATGCTCTCTCTACCCTCCACGTTTCGCGCACAGGGTTGCGGACATCGGCAAACACTTAAGACAGACAGGTAGCAGCACCTCCCACTTTACTGTCCCACTTTACTGTCCCATGTTATGCCGGCTTTTCTTGGCTTGTTTGAAGATGAGTGGTGATGAACAAATGACTAAACTGCCAGTGCCTCGAGTTTACAGCTAATTAGCCAAAAGACAAAAACAAATATAGTTACTAAGGTAGGCTATAGCTAATGGATAAGTTAGCTCAAGGTTTAGCTAAGGCAATTTATCATGGGCATACAGGCTAATGTAGCCTACTGTACTTAAGGGGAGACACTAAAGGTGAATACAGTAAAATGTGTATCTAATAACGTCATCACAATCGCCACATTGATATGCAAATTAGGCGTTAACTAGTAGGCTACACTAGTAATAAAGTAGGGGAGACCAGGGACAGTTGGAACACGGGTTGGTTGTAACACCTTCAATATCTCCAATCACAAACAAGCTAGAGTGATGACACTCACTCTGCACATGCGCAGTTAGATGGTGAGATCGTTGAGAAAAAACGGAGCCACGTTTGAATTTCTCGCGTAAGATATCGGCAAAAGTGTGTTTCTGAGGTAAAATATTAACT